CAATACAATTATAAGTTTAATTGAAAGCATACAAGTGATTTAATTCAATCTTAGAACAAACGATTTAATGGTTCCGTCTCTATTATAAGTACTCAGTAATTTGGCACCAAGAGTTTGCAAGTGCTAAAAGATATTGTTTACCGTCAAAAACAGTATGAGTAAACCTATTGTAACACAAATTATTGACCTAAAATAAGACACAAATTAATTACCATCCATCTATATCTAATCTAATGGTTCGTATAAACTTTGACTAAGATTAAAAATTAATTATAAAAAAAAGGGTACTGAATATAGATAAAAATCAATCATATAAATTTAAAATATAAAAAAAATAAGAGAAAAATAAAATTATAGAATTATAGGGTCTGAAATTTGCTCTAACTCTTGTAATGTGTTTATCTATGATTAAACAACAAGAATTGAAAGGATTTGATGAAATTTTATATTGAAAAAGATAAAATTCCAAGAAGAAACACTATCATAGAATTAAGAGTGTATTTAGCCTTTATTTCTTATCATAGGATTTGACTTTTAAATAGTTTGATGATAAAACTATTTTAATGGGTTTTAAAAGATGATAAAATATTTGTTTAAAAAGAAATTATGCATTTGTAGTAAGATGAATTTTCTATTTAAGAATATCAATGAAAAAATTAGTAATCTAATAAAAATCAATTAATTAACAGTGTCTTAATTTATAATTTCTTTTTCTAGGGGTGAGTACGGGTAGTGGGTAGAACCGAAACCTGCGGGTAGAATAGGAATCGAAACCTGAACCTATCCAGAACCGATACTATGTGGGTAGGTTCCGGTTTCATTTCCATTTTATTGAAACCGATACTATTTGGTTCCGATTCTTACATGTGGAGGAACCAAAACTTAAGAAAAGAACCTGAAGCAGGTATCCAGTTTGGAGTTGATTATTTTGAGATAGTGTTAAATCTGCTGCTTCTTTGTTTGCTTTAGTTGTTCTCTCATTCTTCTTTTTCTTAATTCAATAATTGTTTGTGTTTTGGTTTTGATTGAGAAATTTTATGTGAATTGTGATGAATTGATTGAATTCAAGTATTGCCTAGAGATTAGAGGATTTATGAGTCACATTGGACACAAATGAATGAATAATCAAAAGTTGAAAACTAATAAATGTAGGTTTTCTTAATTTGTTAGGAGTGCATTTGAAACTTTAACAGTATTTTTATCATTTTTTAAACTAATAGGGGGATAATTTATTTTTTACAGGGTACCCGGGCAAAGAACCTAAACCTATATTTCAGGTTTTGGTTTCTTGAATTTAAGAACTGGAACTAAGATGTTCTGGTTCCGGTTTTTTTTTTGAAAACCTATACTATACGGTTTTGATTCTAATTTTTCCAAGAAAAGTAAAGTACTCGAAACTGCTCACCCGTATCCTTTTCTGTACAAATACTTAACAAAAGGTTTTATTTCAGGCCTTATTCTAGAATGGGTCCTAGGCCTAAGGCAATTGCTCACTCGCGTAGGCTTCAGCCGACTCTGCATCTGCTATTGACCATAAAAAGGTGACAAAGGTGTTTGCCTGAGCTTATAAAAATTAGCTTATAAGCAACAATTGCTTATAAGCTAAAATTAGCTTATAAGCATTTAAAATTTTAAGCAATTACGTGTTTGGTTAAAATACTTATAAGTGACTGATAAGTAGTTGACGTGTTTGGTAAAATGTGACTTATAAGTACATTTTATTATAAAATGACTAAAAAAGGTACTACATTAAATAAGGGTATACTATGGAATTTTAAAATTAAACAAGGATAATATGGTAATATACTTGGTCAAACTAACTTATAAGCAAAGTGCTTATAAGCAAAAAAAAAAAAAGTACCTCCCCCCAAACTTATTTTTTTTGGCTTATAAGCTCAACTTATAAGCTCAAAAAAGTTGCAAAAAAAAAAAAATACCTCCCCCCAAACTTATTTTTTTTGGCTTATAAGCTCAACTTATAAGCTCAAAAAAGTTATAAACAAACAGGTCAGTTTAATTTTAGAGCTTATAAGCTAGTTTGACCAGCTTATAAGCTTAGACAAACACCCCCAAAATGACACGTATGATATCTCTATTATGACATGTCATTTCTGTCTAGTAACTATATATGAAAATTCTAAATAATTTATAAGATATAATAGAAAATTACTATTGCATGCATATACGGAACCTGAGTATATATGTATAAATTCATATTATTTTATTTATAAAAACATAGTTTGATTTTAATAAATGAATTTAATTTTGAAATTAGTCCAAAATCATAAATGATATACCATCTTTTCTCATTTTTCCACATTTCTTACAGTGTGCTTTTATTGTTAGTTGGTGGGGATGATAAAATCATGAATGATCTTTTAGAGTTGTAAGTGTTTAGTCAAAAGGAAAATGAGAACGTCAGGGAGCATTGACTTCTATTTTCAACAATCTACCTTGTATAAGTGTCCAAGATTCCATTGTCAAACTTTATACCAATGTTCCCAAACCCAGACCGGAAGGTGACTCAATCAAGTGACCGATTTTCGGTCTAAGCGTTCCAACTGATCTGACCGACGGGTCAGACCGATGATGTTATCAAATATATATATGTTTCCTCACATGTCATTTCTTCTTTTCTCCATCTTTTTTTTCCTCTCTTTATTTCCGTCCTCTCTTTCTTCTTTATAATATATATTTTCAAAATGTCACCTCATTTTCTCTTTCTTCTTCTCACCCATCACCTCATCTTTTCTTTCTTCTTCTCTGCTTCATCTTTTTGCGGTCTCTTCTCTTTCTTCTTTACTTCTTCCATATTCTCCTCTTTTCTCACCTCCTTTTCTCTTTCTTCTTCTCATATTTCAGATCTTCTTCTTCATCTTATTTTTTTTCTCTCTTTCTCTTCGTCCTCTTCTCTTTCTTCTTCTTCAAATCTTCTCCTTTTATTTTTTTTTTTTTTTTTTTTCACTTTCTAAGCTCGAATCTAACTGAAGATGAATAAAGGTGAAAGAGAAGATGAACGAAGTTGGATTGGAAGCCGGAAAAAGACGAAGAAACAAATGAAAATTAAAGAAACGAAGGCTGAAGCAAAAAAGGCAGTGATTTTACCTTTTAAAACAATCACATATGTTGGATTGGATTTTCATCTGATCCGGTTGGACCGGTGGTCTGACACTATTCTTCCGATCCAATAACGGTAAAAAACGGTTTAAATGAAAATATCAATTTTTAACTCTTAATGAACCGGAATTATTGATAAAACCCAATTGGACCGTCCGGTCCGGGTTTCAGAACATTGCTTTATACACCTCCCTTGCCAATTCAACTTCTCTTTAAAACTCTTTCTATTGGGCTTCACATGGTTGAACTTTACTTAAAATTAACCAATTTCCTAACCATGGACTAGGATCACTCAATCTTGCTTCTACCATTTGCTTTAATTCCAATTTCCATCAACTGTGACAATAACACAATCCGAATATTAAAAACCAAAGTTTACTTGGTCTTTTCCACCCCTACCTTATGTGTTGTTGGTGCAAGTAACTAACTCCATTTAAGTATCCTTTTGAACTTTAAAAAACAATTTTATTTATGCTCAGCCACCCCACAGTTTAAATGCTAGCTGTTCCTACAAAGTGAATAGCAAGCTGCAAGCGTAGCGAAGAAGCATGGGTGAAGAAAACAAATTTCTTCTTTCAGTTGGCTTCTTGCGAGAAGATAAACGTATCCAAACTTTTCGAAAACCCCTTTGATTATCAAACATTCCTTGAATTATATGATAATTATGGAGCTTTTAAATAATTTCCAAAACCTTAGATGTGTTTAAGATTAAACAAGGGGTCTGTGAAATAATATTTAAGATTAAATATTACAACTCTTAAATATAACATACAACAATAACAAAAGATAGGTTGGAGTTTTTTGAAGTTGGTCTTGACCCCATTAAAAGGTTATTAAAACAAGGCCCAATAAATACCTCTTATTTCTAAAACTTTGTTATTTCTGGACGTGAACTAAAGAATATTACTTCCTAACAAATGTCAAATGTAAATGTATGAAGCACACATCAATGAAATTACAAGAAGAAGAAATGAGCACTGTAGAGAGCAACGAATTTAATAACAGCCACAAGTGTTACAGAATTGTCTTGCCCCAATTAAGCCATCCTATTCATGCCCACCACTCAAACGACCATGAAATTCTTCCTTCTTCCCTGATTATCATGTAATGTGGCTCAAAACAACAAAAAAATTGGGTAGTTGATAAACCCAAGACAGTGCAAGGTTGACAATGGTTGGCTCAAGAGAAATTCCGATTTTGGATTTCTTTCAGTAGAACTACCAACTATAGCTTTGATCTAATATAGTAACTGTAAACTAAATCTACTAAAAACCACCTATCAGAGTACCATTTTTCAGATTTTAATTTTATTTAAAACTTATGCAAGTTGAGATCACTCAACCCAACCATACTGGTTCTCATTCTTTCATCCGATACAGATGACTTTAATAAACCCTACCTAACCCGACAATTTTCAGGTCAAAGCAAGATCAGGTGAATGTAATTATATTCCCTAACGAATATACAAACATGCCTAAACAAATCATGCAAAAGTTGACTTCTAAGATAATTATATCGAACATCATTGGTTAAAGTTAGTCCTCAATCACGCCTTCATGGTTTCCAGACTTAAGACGATCACAGTCGCAGGAAAAGCCTATAAGTTCAAATGAGAAAGGCTTCATCACACCGCCTAAGAGTGGGCTTCAATTTCTGCTGGTTAACTCTGCTAGAGGACCCCCCCTAGTCTTACAACAAAAATCCAAGAATGAATGCTCTGGCCACCTTGTTTCAGCGTTTGATTTGACAATTATTGCAAAGAACCACACCATATAGATCTTCAAAATATATTAGGCAAAATGCTAGAGATCAGATAACAGAACCCATGACCATAACATTATCATCAACATTCAACCTCATTTGTCCCAAAAAAACAAAAAAAAAAAAAAAAAAAAGGTTATGGTAATTCCTAAGTAAAGAGTACTAGGACAAAAAAGATAACCATGCTTAACTACTCAATTTCAAAGATGATATTCTACCAGACTTGGGCCTATTGTATGTTGAAATTTAAAATTACCATGCAAGAAGAGATCAAATAAAATACAATGAGAAAATTGCAGAACACTGGACAAGAGGAGACTGAATTAAAACGAAGATTTCATGATTCAAGACAAAGTATAAATATATGCAAAGGAAAAAATATATTTATAATCCAATGACAATCCCACATGAAAATGCAAGAAAGGTGAAAATTTATCATCAAATGCAATTTTGACAAATATTATCTTCCAGATATGTGAACAGGTTAAACTAACTCAGAATGCCAGATCTATGATGTAGAATGCAAAATATTGCAGCACAACTTTACCATAAAGAAGAGCAACAAGAAAAACATCTTTCTAACGTAATGGCAAGCTCCATAAAGATCAAAAACCTAGATTTTTTAAGATGAACAAAGCATTCAAAATAAATGATGGCCGATTCTGATCAAAGAATCAACTTCATGTGTTGAAATTAAATACAAACAGATGTATTGATTTATAGGAATATGCAATGCGTGACCACATAAATCAAACAGTAGAATGCATCTCAAAGAAAGATCATTTGAATCGCAAACCAGCAGGACAGCTGACCAATAGCTAGTATCAATCAAAACCCCGACCCCAGCAAGATGGGCAGCAACAGCCCGCTACATGTGGTTATTCGTTAGTACTTCAAAGTTACCCACATTCTCACGTATGTCACAAACAGAATAGGAATCAGCTACCACTTCACAGCTACAGCTACAGTCACGGACCAATGAGCTACAACTCACTACATCAAGCAACATAAGTTATAAACTTCAATGGCTAGAGTTAAATGTCCGTAAATTTCATGGAAATACCCCAAATAAATAATTTAAATAGAGCATTTTACCCTGTCCGATTATTGTGGCTGCAAATTCAGACCAGCATACCATAGGTCCATCTCATATGCAGCATCAGCCACAGGTTAAAACACGTTCAACTTTTGTGCACCCTTTTTTTATCATCACAGCAAGTACTATGTGTTTCAGGGCCAATACTTTCAAATCAGCAAAGACCAGAGGATAATAAGGTCAAAAGTTAGAAACCTGAATCATTCAACGGTTTAAAAACCAAGACTTGACTGTGGATCTTACCAATTATCAGATCACTCAAAGAAAATAAGTTTATCATATTTTGTTCGTGCAATCAGCATATTGACATAACCAGCATCACAATCAACGATCATCCATCTACGATTTAAAACAGCATCAACCGCTACTTACAAACAGCATCAACTGCTACAATAGCCATACCAACATTCTGTCCATCAAAGCCCCCAGTCACTGTCTTCCCGAACATAACTATAAAACCCAATAAATGGTTCAGGAATTAAGATGAATCAGAGCTCCTACAATTTGACTACAAAAAACAAAATAGAACCACACATTCAATGAGATAATCCCTTGCTGGGACTCAGATCAATAAGAGCATTAAAAAATTAAATCTAAACCAGAATGGATGGAAAAAAAAAAAAAAAAAAAATTGGAAAATGAACCCACAAAAATAAACCTAAAATACAAAATTTTTGATTGATAAGCAAATAACAACCTACAGACTTGGAAGTCCAGAAAACCAAACAACCACAACTAAGAAACAGGTGCATGAGGTTCAACAGAGACATTGCTGAACACAAAAGAAACCAGTCCTACCAATACCATCAAATAAATATTCGGATCAGAAATTGCATGGTGACTAAATGCTGAACATTGGCATCGTCAATCAAGTACATTACTCGAGTTGTCTCCATGAATTCCCATGTAGGCCACCAAATCAATCCTACAAAATACAAATTCAGAAGAAACATGTTTAAAAATCAATTTCAGGATGCAGCATAAAGGTAAACATCAGGTGTGATAAACTCACATCAACATCTGAATTTCTTGGAGATGGGCTTTGGGAATCAGCACGACGACCTCGCGGTGAAGGACTCCGAGGAGTTGTAGATCGTTCATCACGACTGCATCTATCCGGGCTCTCACCCCTAGGAGACATCTTGCGAGGACTAGGACTACGCTGAGGAGGGGATGCACTATGAAAAGAACATATAGCATAAAGAAAATATTTTAATTAGAAGTCCAAGTACTAACACATAGACAACTAAGTTAATATAATGATACAGATTGATCTGCATAGTGCAAGAACCTGTCAATCGATCGACTAGCACTCCGGCGATCATCATCATATCGACCCCTGCCTCGGCCTCTATAGTAGTCAGGACTGGCACTCCGGCTTCTACTTCTGCGACGATAATCTCTGTCCCTCCCACGATATTTATCACGATCATACCTATCCAAGCTTCTACTGCGACTTCTCCTCCTGTAATCCCTATCTCTATAATCATCCCGATACCTGAAGATGTTTAGCATTAATTCATACTGGATAAAAAAGGTCGATGCATATATTATACACACAAATACAAGGGATATCCCAATCTAATGGCTTCCACTCTACCGTTATTTAAACCTGAAAAAGTAAAAGCTTAAAACTTGGCAAAACTAAGAATCTTTTAACAAGTACCATTATTGTTATTGTTATTATTAATTTGGGTCCAGTTTGCAGGATTTCAAGGATTCGCTTTTAGACATCCTCACATATATAAATGTCAATGCATCAACTTCTTATCCTTGCATAACCAAGGAATTCAAATGAGATGTTAATTAATCTGACTGAAGAGGTAACCTTAACTACTACCCCCACCCTTCACATCCTGATGATTTCTCAATACTGTTTCCTCCCCATCAGTGAGGACCATGACTGAAAAAGCATTCACATATAAGACACATTAATAAGCTCCATACAGATATTAGTTTTTCAAATGAGATCATTTGGTTAAAATAGATATGGTAAATTTTAAATAAGATAACATGCTTATAATCTGACATCATTCATCGAACTAAATTTCAACTCAGTTGGTGCACCAAAGAAGGTAAAATTCGAAAAAGATAATCTCTTACAAAATCAGTTTCAGTGATGGAGCACAGAATCATACAGTATACAAACTACAAAATGTTCCACCTGAGAAACTACCAAATGCTTCCAAGAACAAGAAAACCATCAAACATTCTTGATCATCAACTACAGTATCATATAAAAGCAATGAAAAACATGGAACTGAGACTCACATGTGATTACTAATGAGGATCTGAAAAAAAAGAAAGGGATGCTTACCTCCTTCGGGGACTGCGACTTCTTGACCTGTATCGCGTTTTTGGAAATGATTCACTAATCCTTCCTTTATGGCTGAAATAGAAAGTTAATTGAATTGATAAGTGACTGGAGTACAAACTATATTCTGACCAGCAAGCAGAACAATTTGGTTACAGAATCGCATTCCTACCTATAGTGATCAGTAAAACCCTCACACAATTCAAACTAGAAAACCAAGAAGTTCAAACTCTCTGTCTATAATGTATCTTCTATTACGATAACCGCCAGGTCATGAAGCTTATCCAGGAATGTTTTTTATTTACATTCATGACTTTTAGAACGTGCTGCTAAATTATGTTCTCAGTTAGGTGAAGAAAGTATGACCACTTTACCAATAGTTGAGACCCAGTCTGGTGAAATTTCCAAGCATTGCATAATATGTTACAATAAAATAGATTTAAAAATCAGGCATGCCAATTGCATAAATAAAATGGAAAACACTGAAAATGGTCCTAATTACAAATATCAAACAATATGGCTTGTCGTATTTACATATCTTCAAACAATATAATACAAACATGAGCACGAATGCAATCTTATAAACCATCATCTAAAGTAACAAATGAAAAAAATAGTATATTTATTAATCACTATCAGCACTTACATCCTCTCAGCATTTGGGCCATATTTTGCAAACTGAACTGTTATCTCTCGTCCATCAACAACCCGTCCTAAAAATATCAAAGAGTACGCTTCAATTTGACAGCCAAATGAATCATTCACATATAAAAGGAATAATTTATCAGGAAAAACAAACACAGTTACCATCCAGCCTCTCCACTGCCTTCTGCGCCTCATCTGCATACTTGTACCGCACAAATGCAAAACCACGCGAATCACCCGTCCTTCACAATACCGAATAACAATATTATATAGAGTCAGTTGTGTAACCAGCAAAACGTATTAAACGCGTTGATAATAAGTAAACAACCCGCAAAATTCAGCCAGCTATCAAATAGTAACTACAGTCTATGAAGATTATCAAAGTAAATTAAACGAACATCAGACTTCATAAAAAAATATAGATAGAAACTGGTACGGGCCAAATGAAAATCCATTACCGTCGATCTCTTGGGATGAAGATATCAACAACCTTCCCGTACTTATCAAAAAGCGGAAACAGATCATCAGCCGTGGTACCTGACAACAATCAAAATTAAAAAGAATGAATGCTCTGGCCACCTTGTTTCAGCGTTTGATTTGACAATTATTGCAAAGAACCACACCATATAGATCTTCAAAATATATTAGGCAAAATGCTAGAGATCAGATAACAGAACCCATGACCATAACATTATCATCAACATTCAACCTCATTTGTCCCAAAAAAACAAAAAAAAAAAAAAAAAAAAGGTTATGGTAATTCCTAAGTAAAGAGTACTAGGACAAAAAAGATAACCATGCTTAACTACTCAATTTCAAAGATGATATTCTACCAGACTTGGGCCTATTGTATGTTGAAATTTAAAATTACCATGCAAGAAGAGATCAAATAAAATACAATGAGAAAATTGCAGAACACTGGACAAGAGGAGACTGAATTAAAACGAAGATTTCATGATTCAAGACAAAGTATAAATATATGCAAAGGAAAAAATATATTTATAATCCAATGACAATCCCACATGAAAATGCAAGAAAGGTGAAAATTTATCATCAAATGCAATTTTGACAAATATTATCTTCCAGATATGTGAACAGGTTAAACTAACTCAGAATGCCAGATCTATGATGTAGAATGCAAAATATTGCAGCACAACTTTACCATAAAGAAGAGCAACAAGAAAAACATCTTTCTAACGTAATGGCAAGCTCCATAAAGATCAAAAACCTAGATTTTTTAAGATGAACAAAGCATTCAAAATAAATGATGGCCGATTCTGATCAAAGAATCAACTTCATGTGTTGAAATTAAATACAAACAGATGTATTGATTTATAGGAATATGCAATGCGTGACCACATAAATCAAACAGTAGAATGCATCTCAAAGAAAGATCATTTGAATCGCAAACCAGCAGGACAGCTGACCAATAGCTAGTATCAATCAAAACCCCGACCCCAGCAAGATGGGCAGCAACAGCCCGCTACATGTGGTTATTCGTTAGTACTTCAAAGTTACCCACATTCTCACGTATGTCACAAACAGAATAGGAATCAGCTACCACTTCACAGCTACAGCTACAGTCACGGACCAATGAGCTACAACTCACTACATCAAGCAACATAAGTTATAAACTTCAATGGCTAGAGTTAAATGTCCGTAAATTTCATGGAAATACCCCAAATAAATAATTTAAATAGAGCATTTTACCCTGTCCGATTATTGTGGCTGCAAATTCAGACCAGCATACCATAGGTCCATCTCATATGCAGCATCAGCCACAGGTTAAAACACGTTCAACTTTTGTGCACCCTTTTTTTATCATCACAGCAAGTACTATGTGTTTCAGGGCCAATACTTTCAAATCAGCAAAGACCAGAGGATAATAAGGTCAAAAGTTAGAAACCTGAATCATTCAACGGTTTAAAAACCAAGACTTGACTGTGGATCTTACCAATTATCAGATCACTCAAAGAAAATAAGTTTATCATATTTTGTTCGTGCAATCAGCATATTGACATAACCAGCATCACAATCAACGATCATCCATCTACGATTTAAAACAGCATCAACCGCTACTTACAAACAGCATCAACTGCTACAATAGCCATACCAACATTCTGTCCATCAAAGCCCCCAGTCACTGTCTTCCCGAACATAACTATAAAACCCAATAAATGGTTCAGGAATTAAGATGAATCAGAGCTCCTACAATTTGACTACAAAAAACAAAATAGAACCACACATTCAATGAGATAATCCCTTGCTGGGACTCAGATCAATAAGAGCATTAAAAAATTAAATCTAAACCAGAATGGATGGAAAAAAAAAAAAAAAAAAAATTGGAAAATGAACCCACAAAAATAAACCTAAAATACAAAATTTTTGATTGATAAGCAAATAACAACCTACAGACTTGGAAGTCCAGAAAACCAAACAACCACAACTAAGAAACAGGTGCATGAGGTTCAACAGAGACATTGCTGAACACAAAAGAAACCAGTCCTACCAATACCATCAAATAAATATTCGGATCAGAAATTGCATGGTGACTAAATGCTGAACATTGGCATCGTCAATCAAGTACATTACTCGAGTTGTCTCCATGAATTCCCATGTAGGCCACCAAATCAATCCTACAAAATACAAATTCAGAAGAAACATGTTTAAAAATCAATTTCAGGATGCAGCATAAAGGTAAACATCAGGTGTGATAAACTCACATCAACATCCGAATTTCTTGGAGATGGGCTTTGGGAATCAGCACGATGACCTCGCGGTGAAGGACTCCGAGGAGTTGTAGATCGTTCATCACGACTGCATCTATCCGGGCTCTCACCCCTAGGAGACATCTTGCGAGGACTAGGACTACGCTGAGGAGGGGATGCACTATGAAAAGAACATATAGCATAAAGAAAATATTTTAATTAGAAGTCCAAGTACTAACACATAGACAACTAAGTTAATATAATGATACAGATTGATCTGCATAGTGCAAGAACCTGTCAATCGATCGACTAGCACTCTGGCGATCATCATCATATCGACCCCTGCCTCGGCCTCTATCGTAGTCGGGACTGGCACTCCGGCTTCTACTTCTGCGACGATAATCTCTGTCCCTCCCACGATATTTATCACGATCATACCTATCCAAGCTTCTACTGCGACTTCTCCTCCTGTAATCCCTATCTCTATAATCATCCCGATACCTGAAGATGTTTAGCATTAATTCATACTGGATAAAAAAGGTCGATGCATATATTATACACACAAATACAAGGGATATCCCAATCTAATGGCTTCCACTCTACCGTTATTTAAACCTGAAAAAGTAAAAGCTTAAAACTTGGCAAAACTAAGAATCTTTTAACAAGTACCATTATTGTTATTGTTATTATTAATTTGGGTCCAGTTTGCAGGATTTCAAGGATTCGCTTTTAGACATCCTCACATATATAAATGTCAATGCATCAACTTCTTATCCTTGCATAACCAAGGAATTCAAATGAGATGTTAATTAATCTGACTGAAGAGGTAACCTTAACTACTACCCCCACCCTTCACATCCTGAAGATTTCTCAATACTGTTTCCTCCCTATCAGTGAGGACCATGACTGAAAAAGCATTCACATATAAGACACATTAATAAGCTCCATACAGATATTAGTTTTTCAAATGAGATCATTAGGTAAAAATAGATATGGTAAATTTTAAATAAGATAACATGCTTATAATCTAACATCATTCATCGAACTAAATTTCAAATCAGTTGGTGCACCAAAGAAGGCAAAATTCGAAAAAGATAAACTCTTACAAAATCAGTTTCAGTGATGGAGCACAGAATCATACAGTATACAAACTACAAAATGTTCCACCTGAGAAACTACCAAATGCTTCCAAGAACAAGAAAACCATCAAACATTCTTGATCATCAAATACAGTATCATATAAAAGCAATGAAAAACATGGAACTGAGACTCACATGTGATTACTAATGAGGATCTGAAAAAAAAGAAAGGGATGCTTACCTCCTTCGGGGACTGCGACTTCTTGACCTGTATCGCGTTTTTGGAAATGATTCACTAATCCTTCCTTTATGGCTGAAATAGAAAGTTAATTGAATTGATAAGTGACTGGAGTACAAACTATATTCTGACCAGCAAGCAGAACAATTTGGTTACAGAATCGCATTCCTACCTATAGTGATCAGTAAAACCCTCACACAATTCAAACTAGAAAACCAAGAAGTTCAAACTCTCTGTCTATAATGTATCTTCTATTACGATAACCGCCAGGTCATGAAGCTTATCCAGGAATGTTTTTTATTTACATTCATGACTTTTAGAACGTGCTGCTAAATTATGTTCTCAGTTAGGTGAAGAAAGTATGACCACTTTACCAATAGTTGAGACCCAGTCTGGTGAAATTTCCAAGCATTGCATAATATGTTACAATAAAATAGATTTAAAAATCAGGCATGCCAATTGCATAAATAAAATGGAAAACACTGAAAATGGTCCTAATTACAAATATCAAACAATATGGCTTGTCGTATTTACATATCTTCAAACAATATAATACAAACATGAGCACGAATGCAATCTTATAAACCATCATCTAAAGTAACAAATGAAAAAAATAGTATATTTATTAATCACTATCAGCACTTACATCCTCTCAGCATTTGGGCCATATTTTGCAAACTGAACTGTTATCTCTCGTCCATCAACAACCCGTCCTAAAAATATCAAAGAGTACGCTTCAATTTGACAGCCAAATGAATCATTCACATATAAAAGGAATAATTTATCAGGAAAAACAAACACAGTTACCATCCAGCCTCTCCACTGCCTTCTGCGCCTCATCTGCATACTTGTACCGCACAAATGCAAAACCACGCGAATCACCCGTCCTTCACAATACCGAATAACAATATTATATAGAGTCAGTTGTGTAACCAGCAAAACGTATTAAACGCGTTGATAATAAGTAAACAACCCGCAAAATTCAGCCAGCTATCAAATAGTAACTACAGTCTATCAAGATTATCAAAGTACATTAAACGAACATCAGACTTCATAAAAAAATATAGATAGAAACTGGTACGGGCCAAATGAAAATCCATTACCGTCGATCTCTTGGGATGAAAATATCAACAACCTTCCCGTACTTATCAAAAAGCGGAAACAGATCGTCAGCGGTGGTACCTGACAACAATCAAAATTAAAAAAAAAAAAAAAAAAAAAAATTTAATTAATTATATGAAAACAAATTAGTTACAAAGTGAAGAGCAAACGAGCAACAGAGAGAGAAATTACGGAAGGTGATGTTAAGGACGAGGAGAGAGTAGGTATCGGTGATGTCTGGAGGGCCTGACCTCCCGAAGTGAGACATCTTTCTTCTCCGATTCGATTGACTAGGGGATTAGAGTTAGGGTTTGATAGGATGGTTTATCTGCAGCAAATGATACTGGGGAACTCTTGAAAAATCTGAGGCAGTCTGGACTCTCGCATTTTATACACGTGGATTTTTGCTCCTTTATTATTCTTTTTTTATTTTTTTCCTGGGAGTGCACACCAACCGAGCCGAGCCGAATAGTAGCTGGCTCGAGCTCGGCTTAACTAAGTTCGAGCTCAGGCTCATGAGCTTGAACTCAGCTCGTTTAACAAAATGGTTGGCTCGAGATCGGCTTGACTTGAATACTTATGAGCTGAGCCGAATTCGAGCCAAGCTCAGTTAAACCACAGTGCATGCAAAATGGCTTCTCTCGTCTGTTAACTCCGGCTAAATATCAAACACTTGGATTACAAATCAACAAAGCAAAAGAAATTCAACTTCAATTTAATCAACTTCACAAAAATCCCAGAATTCAAACTGGGAAAATGAGTCAGCCACTTGATCCCAAAGAAAACTTCATCCAAAAAACAACATTCCAAGCAAAACGCTAAATACAAGCAAAAATTAAGCATATAGAATTAAGTGGAAAACAAAAAAACATCTATATGAGTACTATCTTCTTCTGTCAAATCATATCAACAAGAAGACCAGCAACTTCTCTTCTCTTGCATCCACCTGACCCACAAAGCTTCTCTTCTCTTGCATCAACAACAAGACCATGCAACCAAAGATATTGCAATTCCATTTGGCTACCAAATAAAAAAAAAAAAAAAAATTCGCATCAGAGAATGTGATATTAAGAAGAGGTTCTTATGTCATAATAAGAGTTCATACAGATTAAAAAGAAATGTTACTCAGAATGAATGCAAAGTGAATACAACTTTTGACTTTTCCCAGTTTGGCACAGCACCAAACCAAGAAATATAGAACCATTAATTTTTCATAATTATATGCATAAGACACTCACCATTGACTTTCTTTCCCCATTTAAATTCCCCCACTCAATCCATCTATTCACTCACCGGACTCCAACTCATTTCCAAGAAACAACAAACACAAATGAAAAAATAAATAAATAAATAATTGCAGGGTGAGGAGTCGAACAGGTATGGTGGGATTTATGTAGAAAGGCGTCGGGAGCTGAAGATAAAAGTGGTGGATGGCAGTAGCTTAGCAGTAGCAGTGGTGGTTAACAGCATACCTAAAGACACAACAAAAGTGGTCCCGAGGGGAAATCTAACTAAGGTTGCTTATGTTAGCACCAGTAATGTCTACTCCTTTGGCTCTTGAGAACGTGCACTCTTGCGATGTTTGTGATTTTAATTAAATAGTTTCATTAATTTATATATAATTAATGAGTAACTAATCCTAAAATCAAATAATTGAAAATTTATGTTAACTAATGGATCAATATTAATACAAACGAATTTCTCATAAAAAAAATATAACTTTACTATCAATAACCTGTCAAGATTTCACTAAAACTTCATAGGATCGGCAACTAAAACTGCTCATTTGTCTTCTCTTTCTAAACAACAAAAAAGAAAACAATTTGTTTTAGTTTGAATCATATTAATAAATGACCAAATAAATACATAATTTTAATATATTGGTCTATGGAAGTATGAAATTTACTTTGTAACTTTTCTTGACTCCATAGAGATTGCAACACCAATCACCACCACAAAATAGCACTTGCACGATATCAATAGACAACGATGATCGATAAGTGTCAATAACTCAACTTTCCAGCACTGAAAGTTGCCTCTGAAGCGATTGGGGTGATTGGAATGGCAAGTATTTCACGAGCCATCGTAGATAAAATACGATAGTTCATTAGATTTGCCTTCCACCACTTTAACGCATCAAACGAGGTATCATCCTCATTCCATAACAAACACCCCTCTTCTAGATACCGATTTAACTCAAATTTCTCATGTTGCACCGTTTGAGTTGTTGTGACGCCCACATTGAGGTACGTAATTTAACTTATGCCTTTATACTCTTAGTTGATTTTTATTAAAGTTATTTTGAGAAAATGTGAAAAAAATGCCTTAAAATTTCATTAGGGGTAAAATGGTCTTTTCACTCAAAATTAGTTGAAAAAGTGGGGAGTGAAAAGAGATAGAATTTCATGTAGAATGCAATAAAATGAGGGCATTATGGTAATTGACTAAGGGACATAGATGAAATTTTTAAGAAAGTGTAACGGCAAAATGAGAACCTATATATAATATTATGTTATATCAAGGATTGAAGAGTGAAACCCTAGCCACTCTTCATCCATTTTCACACCACTTTCACCTTCATATTTTCTCAATTTCTTCAATTCTTCTTCAAGGGAAATTCATAGATTTTGGGTACTTTTTAGTGAATTTTCAATCCCAAATATTCTTAGGTAAGATCCTTGCACCAAGAAGTGAGTTTTAATTTTTAAAGTGTTGAATCTTGATGATTTATGTTCATAGGATTTAAGAGAAAGAGAGTTGGATCAAAGAAGATTTTTAAAGTGTTGGATTGCTCACATATAAGGTAAGTAAATCTTACCCTAAGTATGATTTAAGTAATATTGTGTAGTAAATTTCTTTTATGCATATATATGTTTTATATGAAGAATTGTTAATGGATTTGGTGTTGAATGATGATTATAACTTATCCATGAGAAGTTGTGTTGGTGCATTTGATGTTTGATGAACGTTTGGATGATGTTTGATGAACGTTTGGATGAAGTTTGGAAGAATTGGAGTGTATATTTTGGACAGGTTTGGCGTTAAATATGGAGGGTTTTATTCCCAATTTTTGGTGGCTTAGAAAAGAGATAGAAGTGTAGCCAAATTAGAGTTGCTTTGTGCACATAAGTTGTTTGATGAAATGTCAAAGAGAAGTGCATGTATGAGTATGATTATGTGTTATATTGAGATGAGTTTGTAGATGGTAGAGAATGAAATGTTTGCGTTCCATATTGCATAATGTATTTAAACATGTGAATTTAGAAAGAATTATAAGTATGAAACCATCTACATGCATACATACTCATAAGAGCATGAAAAAGCACTAAATAATGTTAAAGAGTAAATGGAAAGAAATAAGAATATTAAAGAAGTTCAAATCTGAATTTTATTTAAAGAAGTGTAAAAAGATAAAAATAAGAAAATATTGTTGCGATGGAGAACCCATGAGTGACAAGAAGAATTTTCCCCACATGCATGCCGCCTTTAGTGAGCAGCCTAAGAATAAGAAAGAAGAATTGGTACAGTCCGTAAGAGTGCATATGGATGAGGGTTGTACCCAAGAAAGAAGAATACACTCACACGGCCAAGTTTCTAAATCCATGCCTCAACCGAGTCCGATCGACAAAAGAATAAGAATGAAAAGAAAAGAAAAAAATAAGAAAGAAAAAAATAAGAAAAGAAAGAAATACATAGAAAAGAAACAGAATAAGAAAAATAGAAAAGAAAATGAATATTTTATATATTTGTGCATTTGCATTATATATATGCATAATACCATGCCCATTATCTGAGTAGTGGGAAATTAGAATAGAGAAAGAACAGAGAGAAAAGCAGAGTAAGAGTAGAGAAAGAATAAAGAAGAATGGGGAAGTGTGAAGTAGGAAAGAAATTCAGAATTTAAGCAACGAAGAGAGAAGGGTAGCATAGCGGGTTTACTTACTAAGCAATTAGTGCTCATCCTGTTGGTTTTAATGTTTTTACCGGAAACAGGTGAGATGTGGTCACTTGAAACATCACGCAATGGAAGGGTTGGGCAAAACTGTCGAGTTACTATTTTGAGACTTTATTATATTATGTAAAGTTTTGTGTATAAAGAAAATTAAATATGGGCCCATAATTTTATACTCGTTTATATGTATATATTCTCTTATATATATTTAGTAAGTTTTACTATTATTTTACAAGTATACTAGTTAGAAATAGAGTCATTACAGTTGTTCTGACAAACTGACTGAATCGTGAACTAGTACGTTTAGGGCGTTGTACAATCACCCGTTAAACCTTATTGATTTCTACAGGTGTTTCACTGCTGGAAGATTGACTTTCCGCCGCATATTCCTTATAAATCTTATACAAGGCAGCTCACACTTCATCAATTTTGTCTTGTGCTTCTTCATTAGGAAACAATTGTGGGTGTGCAAATTGCAGCAACCTCATTTTCATCCTCGAATCCAATACAGCTGCAATTGCCATTAAGAAACTGCATTCCCCCCAATATTTGTAGAACCTTTCTTTCATCTTTCCCACCGTTGACCAAATGAAATCATCATCATCAGAACACTTTTCATTTGACAACTCTTTTATGTCACAAATTTCTTGCAAAAATAAGTTAGATCTTCGATATGACATTAGTTGCAAAGTTGAAGGCTTCCAAAATCTCACACACTTTCTCAAGTTTTTCCTAATCTTCATCTATTGAGGAACAAGTAAAATTATTATCCAATTGAACTAATATTGGAAACACCTCTCTGTATTGAATTACAAGTGCCAACATCTCATAAGTAGAATTCCACTTCGTTTTGCAATCAAGTATGAGTTTCCATTATGTCAACTGCAACATCTAAACAACCTCTGAAAACATAACTACTCTTGTCTCTAATTGCTTGACATACAAAATATAGTCATGTACGTCTTGAATGATGGACTTAATTAATTTGGGAAAGCCCATCCTAAACCATAAAATTCAATATGTGTGTCGCACACCGCACGTGAAACAACTTCCCACCACACATTAGGTTCTTGTTTCTTCTTAAATTCTCCCTCAAAATCTCGATTGCCATGCCATTACTTGAAGCATTGTCAACCGAGATACTAAACACCTTGTTCTCAAGTCCCCATTCCACTAGACACGTATGAAAAGCAACAACAATCTCAACGTGATGAGTGCTTGAAAGTGCTCTCATACTTTGAGATTTTAAGGGTATGTTGTGTGTGAATTAGATTTAATTTGCTAATTTTACTTAATTTCAGTACTTCTTTTGTTTTCTAGAATCATGAGTATGTTTTATGAATTTTTAGGTACTTAGGTGCTGAAAAATGAGAATTTTGAACATTGAAGAGTAAAGAACCAGAATCATATAGGAATGAACATTTAGAGAAT